GCGGTTCTCTGGCAGGGATGGCGGGTGGGGGCGGCCGCGGCCGGAGTCGGGAGGGCAGGGAGGTGCGGGCCGGGCCAGCTGTCACTCCCACCGCGCACGGGCTCCTGGCCCCTGGTAAACTTCTTGTTATGGGGCGGCAGGCAGCATCTTTGTGATCTTCATTTCGGGAAAATGCCTAACTGACTTCTGGTTAGGAATTGTGCGGCCAGAGCCTTCTCGAGTTCGGTTGAACCAGGCTGAGCGCTGCACTGCGTGCAGGTGCCGTAGTCGGTCCGCGCCGGAGGGATTCAAAGGTGAACAGGGGCCCACGGTTCCCTCCCCCGAGGAGCTCACTTTCTGGTGTGGGAGATAAGACCAGTACACGAATAACCTCGGTACCAGGAAGGAGGTGATAAGTCCTGTGAAAGAACTACAAAGTGCTAGGAAGGCACCCAGGGATGACCGAACCGATCGATCACTTCCGCCTAGCAGAAATCTGGAAGGCTTCCTGGGCGAGGTGGTGCTAAGCGGAGTCTTGAAGGCTTATGGGGTTTAGGAGAGGACGGCTGGGCAACAGACGGTATGTGGAGGGGCAGCAAACTAGAGGACAAAGATAAAAAGGCATAGTCTAGAAGTAGTGGATAATTCAGTTGCCTATGACCATGTTGGGGAGTTAAGGGTAGGCTAAAGAGGTATTTGGGGGCCAGATCCATGAATACTGTAGAGGAGCTGTTTGAACGGCATTCTAAGGTAAACCTGGAGCTCATTTCTCAGTGACTCATGAGCCCGGAAATGTAAGCTAGGAGATACTAAAGGCGTTCTTGTGAAAGAAAGAGGAGGCCCAGTAAAGAGTTGACATTCTGTGCCTTGAATATAACGCAGTTTGAGATCGATTTTGACAGCTACAAATAAATTCATGTTCAAGCTAAGAGAAGTACCTTTTGCAAAAAGCTTCACTAGATATCAGGTGCTTAAGAGGTATTGGAAAGATGTGTATAAAATAAGGTTGTCTGCACCTAGGCATTTCTGTAGGCAGTTCACTAAGATGCATCAAAACTTCTTCCACTGTGTATTATGAGGTGGCTACGCTTTGGAATTACTGAGCTGATCATAACGTCTTTGAAGTGGCATTTGTGTAAAGCAATCTAAATTGATATTAAAAAAAAATCAGATTGTTACTAATATTCTGGGATGGCAAGTTGGACATAGAACCTGTTTAGAAAAAGGTAAACATTCCTTTATTAGTTTTTAGTTATGAAAATGTAGGAGAGTGAGACGTGAAAATCTAGTGTGATTGTGTACATTTTTTCCCCAAATTACTGGCAAATAGCTGTATTTGAAGTCTGGAATATGATCTGTTGAAGAAGCTTAGGACCCATGTTGGTTTTGTAAACACTTACTTGTTGTTTGCTTATATGACAATTGAATGTCAACTTTTTCAGTTAAAAAAAAAACTTGTAAAATGCAGTTAAGTACTAGAAAATTTTTAAAAGTTATCTTCTGTAACCTTAACCACTTAGATTTGGTTACTGTTAACATTTTTGCATATTTTTTTCAGTCTTTTTGTGCTTGTTTTTTCTTTGTGTGATGAAATAAAAACTGCATATATATATATATATAGAGAGAGAGAGAGAGAGAGATTTTATTAAAATTTTTTGTCATTAAATATCTTTATGTAAAAATATTTTTACCCAAGTAAGGGAAGTCTTAAATGTATTATTATTATTTTTTTTCTGACAAGTTGCACTATTTATCTCAGATCAAATGCAGTAGTCATGCTTAATAACTGCTACTGTGGGCAGAACTTTTTCTAAAGGCGTTTTGTTTGGAGTATATTTATTAACTTCTTTGTAGGATTTGGATCCTATTGTTGAATAAAGAAAGATTTTATTATTTGGGGTGTGTGTTGTCGTCAGATATGGAAGAGATCACACATCTCTGCTGTATGAGTGTATGAATTTTTTTTAAAGGCACTATAAAAAGATTATTTTCTTAGCTGGTATAATATCTCCCTTACACAGTGATACACTCCCCATCCCAGCACTGCCTCCCCCCCCCCAAATAGTCTTTATGCTAGGTCTGTCCATATAAGTTAACTACTTTTTGATCATGATATCACAGAGACTTAGTCTGTATATATTTAGTTCTTCTGTTGGTGTTCTTTAGTAAAGTACAGAATTTGGTGAAATAATTTGCTGCTATAACAAAAGGGACTTTTTTTTTTTTTAATTTCAAGACCCTTCAAGTTAGTTCCTTTGCGTTTCAGACTGCAGGTTCTCATTTAAAACAGTTTTTTTTTTCCCTTTTGCTTTACATTCTAAAATGTATTAATGAGGTCTCTGCTTCTGTTTCATATAAAGTGAGATGTTGAGTTGGGTTTTATAAATTTTCATAAAGTTAATATAAAAATAGTTAAGAAAGTCTAATGTAAGTATGGGGTTTTGTTTTATAACTTGGTTTTATTTGAATCTTTATTTTTATATTCCAAATGTATATACCACAAAGCACCCTTTATTACTTTTGAATATTTACTAAAGTTTTTTTCTTTTGATCAACTTTGGTAGGTTGCAGATTTCTGTAATTACTGCCACGCTTACCAAAGAGTCTTTTTTCCAGGAGGGATTGATTTCTGATCATTCCCGGTTTTGCCATCTGCCGTAAAAATACAGACAAATCCAAAACCACACCCGGCACACAGAATATAAAATCCAGTATAGGGTAAAATTTCACTTCAGGAAGTGTCTTCTGGTTACCTTTCTGGTGGTATTTCTGTTTTAAAAATCCATTTTCTTTTTTTCCATGGCTCCTATTGATTTGGAATTTCATGGATGTTGTCTGGTGTTACAGAAATAGGAATGTGTTAGGTGGATTAGTATGGATCATAGCAAAATGGTAAAACTTTGTTGTGTTATCAGATTGTGGGAAAGAGCAAATCTCTGAACCTCCAGGTTAGGTTGCTTGTGACTTGTTTTATTATTACTGAGGTGTGAAGATCTTGTATTTGTGTGAATGCAGATCAAGCCGAGTAGCCTAAAAATGGCATAAAGATTTAGTCATCAGTCTATAGTTTGGTTGTTACTGGAGAGAAGCCTGGTGTTGGGGCCATCCTTAATTAAAGGAGGAACTGAGCTGCACGAGCGCTCTTCCTTTGTGTGTCTCACCCTTCGATGCTATCTGACTGGACCCTCGTCACTGCCTTTATCAGTCCAGAGTATGGCGGCAGAGCAAAGTGAGACAAGCGTTTCCACCGCCAGCGTTTGTGGAGTAGACCCGTCCGGCGGTAAGCGTGAAATGTTTGTTCTGCTTCTGTTTCTCAGGCCTTCCAAGGATGGAGAGCAGAGTTACTATAGAATGGGTGACAGATGCTAGACTGATAGTGATAAAATGAAGCTTAACAGGTGGTTGCCATTAGCATTTTGTTTTGGGATTTGTGTGTGTGCGCGCGTGTGTATGCATCCTTCTCTACCTTCCTGAGCTTCCTGGCTCCACTGTGCTTTTAACATCTCTCTTGAGATAGAAGGGGTGAGGGGATGGAGGAGTTGTGCCTTATTAGCATCTGTGATGTTAAGCTGGCAGAGGAAGGAAGAATGGCATGCGGAGAATTGCAAGAGGTCAGTCAGGTGTAAAGTGGCCCCAGAGGAGGGAGGTAGACGCTCTGGCCATTTAATTGGCAGCGTCCGGCACGTACCTCTTTGCATGATTCTTAATACACTGTGTCTAATTCACACTTTGATACTGAAAGTATAGTGTTGTATATTTGGGTTTGCTTGTTTGTATGTATATATGCATTTCCATGTGCGTAGTTACAAAGACTGAGAAAATCTAGTTAACCAATGTTTAGTGGCAGTCTCATTTTTTTTTTAGAATTGTTCCCTGTGAACATTACTCAGAAGATCAATTGTTGATGACTAAGGAAGTATGATCATGTTAAAACATCACATTACTTTGAATATTTTGATGAAATGTTTGAGAAACAAAATATACATTTTGTTGCTTGATCTTAATTAAGTTGCTACTTTATAACTTTGTCTAATAGGTTGGTCTTCTAGTACCGTTAACGTGTTACTCATGGTTCTCTCCCTCCACAGTGGGTTCTGTATCAGCTGTATCTGGGCATGAGGAAGAAATAGCATGAGCACATTTCTTTTTACATGCCTATAGTTAAAGCCCACTCTGGGATTTATGGAATTCTGAGAGGCAGTATTACTAGTGGTTAAAAGCACTAACAGACTCCCTGCAACCGGACTCCCTGGATTGTTGAACCCTCGCCCATCCTGCGGGCTCTGTAACTTTAGGCAAGTTCCTTGACTTCTCTGTAGCTTAGATTTCTTGGACAGGTGTAATATAGCCCATACGTGAGAAAACCATAGGGAAATTAAATTAGGTACCGCATCTCAAGTGCTCAGAACAGGGCCTGGCGAATAAAAAGCACTGGACACAATAAGTTTTGTGATGATGCTGATGCCAAACTTGTTGCAGGGGGAAGAAATCTGAGCATTTTAGAGACCCTGCGGTCAGAATAGTTCTTTCTGCAGACGGGAACACAGGCCCACTATAACTAGAGTCGTGTGTGGCTAACTTTGAGCAGTAACCCGTGGGGCTTTCTGCAAAGTGGAGTCACTTGCTCAGGGTCCTGTGACTTACTAGACACAGGGCTGATCCTGGAGCCTGGCTTTGTTCTTTCTTTATCCAGTTTGCTTGAAAGAAACTAAGTTTTATACTTTATGCAGCACTGTCTTCTTTAAACCTTTTCACTAACATTTACAAAGATTGTATTCACGTATTACATGCTCTTTGGTGCATGATCCCTTTTTAAAGGTGTGTGTTCATGTTTAAAATTGTGATGCAGCTGGCAAGTCTTTAGGGGGTGGTTGTATGAAGTTAAAAGTTGGAATAGACAAACAATCAAGGGAGATGGACAAAATAGATCGGGGGAGAAAATTACCATTTGAGTACCATTGAGTGTTGCACAAACCTCTGAGGTAGGTAGTGTTGTCCCCTAGCATCATTACAGATGGGAAGTGAAAGTTGAGGGCCTTGTCCAAGGTCGCACAGGCACTGCACAGTTGAGCTAGCATTCAAACCTAGATTTGCCTCACTTCAAAATGTGTGCTCCTTGGAATGCGGTATGACTCTCAGTTTTATTTTCTTCTACAGAGTCTTAGTTTTTTTGCTGACCATTCTTGATTTAGTACTTTAGAATTAAGTTTGTAAATATAGCCTAATGAGGCTTTTAATAGGTTTCCAGACAGTAGCCACCTGTTATAATACAAAATGAGATGGTTTGTTCTACATGCTCTGGTTGTATGGAGTTGTGAGTTGATTAGTGGTTTATAGTTTTAGTTAGGCCAGTAGGTGGTGTTTATTTTTCATGGTAGCCTTGTAGAGAGATGGGAGGCCCTTGTTACAGCGGGTAACACAGAAGCCTGGGCATTGGAAGGCCTGGGCTGGGTCCTGACTCAGTGTCTAATCAGTTCACTCTGGGCAAGTTATTCCACCTCTCGGCCTTTCCAGTCATGCCATTGTTACGCTGAGAGGATCAGACTGAGAACCCTTGTCTCTTTTGTTCTTTTTTTTTTTCCCCCCTCTTCATTTTAGTGAGAGGGTGGTAGGGAGAGGGGCAGAGGGACAGGGACAGGGAGAGAGAGAGACAGAGAGAGAATGAGAATGTTAAGCAGGCTCCACACTGAGCCTGGAGCTTGATCCCGCGAAATCAGGAGATGATACTCAACCGACTGAGACACCCAGGTGCCCCTCTTTGGCCCTTATTTTCAGTGATCCTCTGCGTAAACTTTCTGACTTGCCTTTTTTTCCTGTACCAGGTACCTCTCCTTTTGCCTTTGGTCTTGAAGTCAGTTTCTTTATGAGGGCTTTATGGCATGTACCCACGCTTTAACATTTTTCTCTTCTGGTTGGTCAGGTGCCTAGTGTTATTTCACAGTACGGTAGTTCTCTGCTTCAGGTAATGTAACATCACAATATGTTTTTAAATTTTCTACTTTTGTACTTACAAATAAATGGCTAAGAACTAATGTTATCTGGTGGTAAAATACAAGCTTAGTAAGTCTAACTAATGATTAACAAATTCTCAAGTGCTTCACATCAGATTTTATAGTCAACTTTTAAATATATATGCTGTGGAGTTCTAGGAGCTCTTTCCTTTGGGAAAAAGAAAAATATTAATCAGAGACCATGGAGGTGGAAAAGAAAGGACCAAAATGTAGAATCAAATTTGAAGATGTGAAGAACATGCTTAAGATAGTATTCTTTGGCTATAATTGATACTAAAGATAATATTCTTTGGCTATAATTGATACTAATCCTCTAAGAAAGGTGGTGTGCCGGTTTAGATCGGGGGATTACTTCCAGCCCAGGGTTCTATCATTGGCAGGAGATGGCAGACATATTTGCCACCCCTGAGCATTCATAACTCCTGAACATCTGTTATGAACTAATTTGTTCCACAAGAAGTTTCTGTAGCCCATTATGCTGGGTCCTGTTCTGTATACCAGTCTCAAAGTGTTCCTAGTCTAGGTAAACAACTCTTCCCCCTCTTTGCTGGCATGTTATCATCAGCCAGTTCGTTTACTTCTAGATTCTCTAAGTCGTGAGACAGAAACTCAGGTCACTATCAAGACTTTTGCAGATCTGGGCTGTCTCTTCACAGTATGGTTTTATTCTCTATTCGGTGTTCGTGTGTGAGTTTTAAGTTTTTCCTATGTATGTAAGTTTTGTACAATAGATTGTAATTTATTTGAATTGCAGATTTTTAAAATCTCTTTTCATATCTCTTCTCTTCCTTCTTCCCCCACCCTGTGTTTTCATAGTGTAACACATTATTTGGTAATGTTTATTAAATGATACAGGTGTGTGATATTCTGATAAAACTGTTCAGAGATGAAAGATTCACCAAAACACAATTTTCTGTGTATTTTATTTATCTCTGCTATATTTGTGCTTATTTTTGAAGGTTTACGTACTATAACAACTGAACTTTCTTAGAGATCGATCTCCCTTTTCCAGATCAGCTCACTTAAAACAGCGTTTCCCAAATTCTGTTTTGTAGAACACTAGTCTTATGAGAGAGTAGTAGTTGGGAGAAGTTTCAGAATGAAGTTTAAGTTTGGGGAAACACTAGGTTAAAAGCAGTTAATCGGATTTTAATTTTTGGTAGTAATTGTGTTACTGTTTTTCTTCAGAGCTTATCAGAGTTTTTAGTAATGTGCATTGTGGCTGTCCACAAAGGAAATATAATGTGCAGTATTTCCCAATTTGCCAAATTTGTTTACAACCTCCCCCCCCCCCCCCCCCCCCCCCCCCCCGAAATACTTCCCTCAAAGTATTGAAGGAGGGTTCTTTTGGAACACAATTTGAGAAAGCTTCTTATTTACATACTTTTTACATATCCATACATAGTATGGAATTCAAAGCATTTACTTTTTGATTGGGATGATTACTTATATCAGGTTTGGAATCCAACTAAGATTGGAATAATTTGATTTTCAGTTTTGTTAAGTAAAAGAATAAACACTCTAGATAAGTTTTTTTTTTTTAAACCTCAACCCATGTGAGAAATTACATTTTCAATCAGTGACCCAGCACCATACATGAACACACTGTCAAAACTGAGAAGGAAGTTTCATGAAACAATACTTAGGCCTTCCTGTGTATGATGTGTTCGAATACTTTTCATTCTGCTTTATTTTTTAATGTATGCTGTGAGCTACTAAAATAATGCACCATGTAATTTGAGAAACACTGTGAAATTACATGAGTTTATAAATGCCTCAGATGCTATTGTGAGAAGGCAGTGGAGATACTTAAAAAACTAAAGCTCGGCGTAGAGATAAGAAGAGGGGCTCTAGCCTTGGAATTCCTGGATTTAGATTCTGGTTGTGTTTTCTTGGGCGGGGTGTTTAATCCCCATGCTGCTTCAGCTTTCTCATCTGTAAAGTAGCAAGAATAGAACCTATGCATTAAGTAGTTGTGAAGATTCAGGGAGAAATGCTCTGCATCATGTGTTTGATGTGCTCCGAGTGCCCAGTCCATTTAGCTTTTCTGATGACTGAAGCTCTGAGACTCTGCTACAACATACACGGTCTCACAAATATTTTAAGCCTTTGAACGTGTTAAAGCGGACTCTATGTGAACATCGACTCTTTTGATCTGTAGCTAGATGTATCATTCATTGTGATATCAACCTTCTGGAATAGTTTTAAAGTAGTCAAAAGGACCCACTTAGAGTTGTTTTGCCTCATAGTTGCAAATGGACTCATAATTGCTGAACTTTATGCTATATTACTGTTATTTTTTAAACCATTCTTTTTAAACAATATCTTAAAGGTAGAATAAGTTCTCTTTATAACAGGTCATTAAATACAAATATGAACATACCCACATCAATGATTAATTTAGCATTCCTATAATTTTGGTCACTAAAGGAAGAACAAGGCAAGGCCTTTTCTTGTTTTATGCCAGTTTTTAAAATTCTCCATCCTTAATATTTTACATTGCTATTGGGAGTTTAATTTTGTGTCCTGACCTAAGAAAAGGGGCATTTATAGGAGATTAACAATGGTGGGTGCCAGATCTAGTTTGCAGACTGTTCACTGTTCTGAACATAGCTGGCTGCCTCCTACATTTATGTAACCTGCTGAGACATCTGCATTGTCTGTCCCTGTTTCTTTTATTGCCTATTTGTCCTGAGTAGGGAAATGTCCTGGAGTTGCTGAAATGAGAGGTTCTGATTGGCGTCGTTGAGGTATACCACCATTTCAGTGTTAGGCAGCATAAAGATTATCTACTTGTGTAAGCAAAAACGAAGTAAAAAGAATAAATAATTGCTAACATAACACACGTATGTTACCTGCTGGTATCACATTGACCTCTCTGTTAACCTAATTTAATCCCATAATAACCCTGTTTTCATCCCTATATTTTCAGGTGAGTAAATGGAGAAAAAAGAAGCTAGATAATTGACCTGAAGTCCTACATCTAGGTTTGAAACCCTGGTCCCAGAGTGTGCCCTTGTAACCCACCACTATGTTGCCTCCACCACAAGGTACTGGAATGTAGAATTATCCTGGAACACAGGAAATTTCTGTAACAGAAACATGAGGTCAAGTCTTCTGGTCAGGATGTGTGAGATACTAGGACGCTGAGAGAATGTTCACATCACTGATTGGCTGTCAGTTGTCTTTTTTTTTTTTTTTTAATGTTTTATTTATTGAGAGAGAGAAAGAGAGAGGCAGAGGCAGAGAGAATCCCAAGCTGGCTCCAGGCTGTCAGCACAGAGTCTGACACAGGGCTCAATGACCTGAGCCGAAGTCAAGAGTCGGATGCTTAACTGACTGAACCACGCAGGTGCCCCTGCCTGTCAGTGACCTTTTAGGACTTGTGAAGACAGGGAGATTAGAGAGAGGAAGATTAGAGACACTAATGTACTGTTTTTCCAAAAAAGGGAAAGGTGGAATCCACAAATCATAGAGACTGAAATTGATGTTGATTGCTGACATATTCCAGAAGGGAGTGAGTCATTAGCAAAGTGTTGATTTCTAGAAGCTACAAAACATAGTTTATTAACTATTTCCTTTTGTAATAGAATTCTAAGTGTCTTGGATAAGGATGTAGGCAGGATACAGATGTCTGTAAAGATAGTTTCATTCATATTTGAGATTATCTGAAAAATGTACAAGTGTATAAGTTGGAATATTTTCTAGGATTTGAAGTCATTTTGATGTTTTTCCAAGATCATTTTACTTATGTTCGTTGCATTAGAATATAAGCTGTATATTATGCTCTTCTGAAGTACTGTAGGGCACATTAGACACAAATTCAGTGGCCCACATCCTCTGTGCCTTGCCTTCTCAAGTAGACACAAAGGAGCTAGAACTGGTAACAGCTTCCTGGGATGTACACACAGCCAAGTAAATACTTTCTAGCTTTATATTGTTAAGATTATTCATCCCTGTTCTTTACAGTTGCTCATAACCCATTTGTTTACTCAAGAGCTAGTCTTGCCCTTATTCCTGAACACTAACTACATGGTGTGTGATTAGAAGCTGCCTCCTTGGGAAGAGGGCTGGACAATAGAGCATTCCTCCTCCACACAAGGTAAAACCTTATGGGGGATGGTGGTGAGGGTGAGGCATGTTACTTTTTCCTTGTTTATCTTCTTTTACACTTAAATATAGTGAAAGGAAGACAGAGAGATGAGGGTGCTTAGCATAGGATGTTGTATACAGACGCTCTGTGGGTGTGTGAAAAGGGCAAAACTATCTTCTACAGAGGCTTTCGTTGTCGAAAGGAGGAAGAAATAAGAAAGAGGAGAAACAGGACAGAGGAGTGCCTCCAGGAAGAATTGACCAGAGAAACACTGGCTCTCAATGAGTGTGTCATGTATGACTTTGAAAGATCTGATGATGAAAGTGGAACTGGTTGCTTTTCAGAACTGTCTTAAGAAGTAGAGCACTTGAATAGGTTATTAATCATGGAAGGTATTAGATACAGGTTAAAAGGCCATGGCCTCCGAACCAAAAAAGTGAGTGGAGCTCTGGACCTGGATGATACAGAAAGTATAAGTTCTCTTTAAAATTTTAAAGAGATTTTTCAGTAAATGATCTCATTTATTCTAGATCCTAGAAGAATAATACCAAAAGATTAAAAAGTCATGTTTCAAAACTGGCAAAAACTCTTACAAACCTGATAGAATATAAGAATGGCAACTTGATAAGACATTACAAAGGAAGGATACTATGTTTCAATTTCACCTAGGGAAGTAGTCAGGAAAATCCTAAGTAAAACACCAGCAAATAATTAAATAGGCAGTTCTCTTCCTTTAAGAAGATAGGTAACAGGTAACGCTTGCTATTTACTGCGCGCCAGGCATTTTTCTAATTATTTCAGTCCTCCCAACAGCCCTGACAAAGAGGTGGTTATTAGTGTTATTAGCCTCATTTTACAGATGAAGGAATTTAGACCAAGAGGTAAAATAATCTGCCCGAGGATAAATGGGTAGTAAGTCACACAGCCTGGGGTTTCAAACCCTCAGGGTACGTTGGGGTCCGGCACCAGTGTATATGGCACCCTTGTGCTGTGTCATCTCAGCGTGCGCCAAGATAACAGTGCTAATTTACCAGTTCTTGATTATGAGCTCTTCAAAAGCTGGTAGGAGATTAAAGAGTATCTGTGTTAAACCAACAGCAAACAACCTGCCAATGGGAAAACTGTGGTAGAATTCCCCTTGAAATAAGAAGGTGAAATAGGCATGTCCAGTAACACTTCTGATGCTCAGTATCAACCTGGCCGATGCTAGAAAACATCGAGTAGAATGTATAACTGTTAGGAAAAACCGGCAGAAAATAGCAATACGTGCAGATGTTACAGTCTTAAACCTAGGAAAACCAGAATCAACTGAAAAACTAAGTTTGGTAAGGTAGCCATATACCACATAAAGATATTTAAAATTGGTAGCATTTGTTTTTCTTTCCTGCAGTATCCAGTTGTAAAAATATTAGGGGGCTCCTGGGTGGCTCAGTCGATTAAGCATCCGACTCTTGATCTTGGCTCAGGTCATGATCTCATGGTTGCGGGATTGAGCCCAGTATTGGGCTCCACACTGGGCATGGATTGCTTAGGATCTGCTTAGGATTCTCTCTCCTTCTGCCCCTCCCCTGCTTCTGTATATTATATATTAGGAGAAAAATCTCATACAACAAACAATGAAATGCCTAAGATGGGCAGGATCTCTATGAAGAAAACTACAAACTTAATTGAGTGGAAAGAAGATGTAAGAATGGAGATTTACCATGTTTTTGAATGTGAAGACTGAATGAATGTTAGGAAGCAAGAAAATTGCCCAAGTTAGCTTACTGTTGGCCAGAGAGTAAAGTCATATCTTTAAAAAGTTAACTTAGGGAGCTTAGTGAAAAGTGTATATGTACCTACTAGGTGAGTGAGATCACACATCAGTGGGGAAAGAGGAAGGATTATTTAGCAGAAGATTTTCCGATAATTGGTTATTCTTTGGGAAAATCAATTTGATGGAAGAATGAGTTTAAAAACATAAATTAGAAGAACATTTATGTGAATATTTATAGACCTTTGGATGAGGAAGTAGGCATATTTCCATTGCTATCAAGTGATCAAAAGGCAAAAAAACAAAACAAAACAAAAAAAAACAAGATAAATGTGTGAAAAAAAGTTTGCATGATCATAGACAAAGGGTTAATATTTAGCTCAGTATAGCAAAAGCTTGTTCAAACTGGCAACTGCTGTTTATTAGTAAATGCTACCTTGGATGTTTAATCATGTTAAAATTTTAAGTCATGCTATCATTTTATAATCAGGGAAATGTTTTGCCCAAGAGGTATATACCTCTCTTCTAAATGGCAGAACTGGGGTTCCAACTTGGGTCTGGTAAGAGCTTATCCTCTTAACCCTTGAAGCATGCTGTTTTTCAAACATGTCAAAGACTCAAACACTGGATAAATAAACAGCCAATTCAGGTAGTGGCTAAATAAAAGAAATACAAATAAACAATGAGGGGGATGTTAATTGAGATTTTTTTTTTTTAAGTAGTAATGCTTATGTTAGTAGGGATGCATTGAGAGGGAGAGTAAGGCAATTTCATATGCTGCCCATTTGGCTTTTCTGTGAAATATTTTGGTCCAGCATATATCCAGATTCTTAAGGTATTCCTTTCATGTAAGCCAGAAGATAAAATAACACGTATTTGTTTTTCATCCTCACGGCAAGTGATCTCCAGCATCTCAAAACAAACAAAAAAATCCAGGTATTTTATTGGTTGTGGTGATGGCTGCACAACTCTGAACTATTGAAACTATTGAATTGTATACTTCAAGCGAATTGTGTGGTATGTAAATTATTGTCAGTAAAGCTGTTACTTTATTTTATTTTTTTTTAATTTTTTAAACTTTTTTTAAATTTATTTTTGAGACAGAGAGAGACAGAGCATGAACAGGGGAGGGGCAGAGAGAGAGGGAGACACAGAATCGGAAGCAGGCTCCAGGCTCTGAGCCGTCAGCCCAGAGCCCGACGCGGGGTTCGAACTCCCGGACGGCGAGATCGTGACCTGAGCTGAAGTCGGATGCTTAACCGACTGAGCCACCCAGGCGCCCCTAAAGCTGTTATTTTAAATTAGCTATTGGGTGAAAGAAGGAAATGGAGTTTGCTTCTCTGAATCATTGAATTGTTAAAGATATTCAAAATTAGATTCTTCCAATTGATGTTGCACTGATTTATTGGAATGCCCTATCTGATGCAGCACCATAAACCTAAAGAAGGTGAAATTAGTGCTGAGGATATCCTCCTAGTGGTCAAAGTAGAGACAGCTGGAAGCCTAGTGAAGTCATCTCTTAGCAGGGAGCTCAGAAGGTTTATGGTTTCAGGTTTATCAAAGTCATTCCTAAGATCACGTGCTTGGATGTTAGGAGACACATTACACCTAACCTTTATTTAAAACTCGTGTGTGTGCACAAACACACCTCTCACTGTTGATTTTCCTTTAGTATCCTACCTTGTGAATATGATGTGAAGATGGCCCTTGTTCTGTAGGGGCAAACATGAACTGTATTTCTTGTAATTTTCCAATACAAGGGTACATAAGCCAGGGTAAAATAGCTCAGAGGTTTGGGCAGGGGTATGGAGATGGGGAGCTGGGCTCTTGCGGAAATTAGATCAGTTAGATCAGCCTGTTCTGATCCCTTCAGCAATGACAGCATGGTGGGGTGAATCAGACTAATATTTCAGCTTATAAGGGAACTGGCAACTTGTTGACCACCTGGCCTGGAGCAAAGAGTATTTGGTGGGAAGTGAAGAGTTACAGTTACTCTGTGACATGGGCATATTCCTTCATCAACCTAGTGAATTTTGATGTTTACTGATTTGAAATACCAAATATTGCCAAGGGAGACATATTTTTATCACCACTAATAAATTATTTATGTGCAGGTGACTCTGCTAAGCCCTGCTGTAAGTGGAGGGTGCTTTCCTTAATCGGGGGAAATGAAATAGAAAAGTTGGGTGGTCATAGGGGAGGCA